TTTTTTTTTTATTTTTTTTTTTTTTTTTTTTTTTTTTTTTTTTTTTTTTTTTTTTTTCACAGTATCTCATGGGTGATGGACAAGGTCATACTGACCGAAATGGAACCTCCAGAGCTCGTTGGTGGCCAGTCCGCCGCTCTCGCCACCGAAAATGAGCATACAGCTGGGCAGGCGGCAGGCGGCGTGGCCGTGCAAAGGACCGGGGCCTGGTTTGCTCTTTAGGAGACACCAGGAGGCTGCCTTGATGTCCCAGCGCCAGCAATCGCTGCGCTCCTGCAGGTCCGTCATACCGCCGTACACGTACATGCCGTCGTCGTGTAGCACTGCCGAGTGCTTGTGCCGGGCTGGGGGGCCCGATTCGCATGACAACAGGTGCCATGATTCCGTTTCTGTAGCACAGGGTTTTTAATTTTTATCTTTTAAGTGAGACGATAATTGACTGACTGGAGTGCCAATATTGTGCCGTTTCATTTGATGGCACATAGTTTTATCGGAACCCTACATTGTGAATTTAATCCTTTAGTTTCTGCATAAATTAAAAATATGCATGCAATATTAGTCATTCTACAACTGTTTTTGTCGAATGTTTGAGAAAAAAAAAAAAAAATTAAAAAAAAAAAAAATTACCGGCTCAATATAATCAAATAGTTGATAATCTGTCAATTTTTTTATCTCCAAAACATGTTTTACTACTACCGTTATTTGTTTTATAAAAAATAAAAATTTCTACTTTGTACTTGTAAAGCAGTGTTCTGTTAGCACACTTGGATTTACCGCGTACATAAACTAAGATATCAGGTGATGTGAAAATCTAATAATCATCCCCGATCATTTCAAAGATACGATTTAAAGAAAACATACAAATAAAAACAAAGAGAAATGCGCTCACCAAATCAGAAGAAGGAAAAAAGTACAAGTAAAGGCAATAATTTCTTATGGCGTCAGTATCCCGATCGCCAAATCACACACAATTTTTACTTGATTGCCAAACAAACGGCTAAATAGATAGACGTATATACACAGACAGATTCGAGAAGAAAACAAATATAAAAAAGATTGTCAGAACTCACCAAAGTGGAAAGCCCAAAGTTCGGAGGAGCTGCCCCTGAGGTCCTGGTAGCCGCCGTAAATAAGCATCTGTCCACGGTGGACGAGGGCCGTGTGTCCTCTCCTGCCCCTCGGGACGGCGCAGCCCTTCTGCGCCCGGATCTTTCGCCACGAGTTAGACTGCGTGGACGCAGCATACCGGAAACAAGCACAACAAGAACGCCCACGCCGTCATCGCCGCCATTAGCTCGCTCGAATATTTATTATCTCGGGGCATTGTCCCGAAAGAGTGAGAGGCCGAGGGAAGTATACCTTGACGGAGTAGCACCAGAGCGGGGTCTCGGTGCCAGCCGAGAAGCCAAGTTCGCCACCAAACACGTACAGGCAGTCCTTGTAAGCGACAGCGCTGTGCTCCTGCAGGGCCGGTGGCCGCTCTCCCGAGGGATGCAGCTCCTCCCATCTGCTATCGGCTGAAAGCACACGCGTGAACTTTTTGGTATACACCCTCTTCAAACGTCAGGGGAGTGTGGGTGCGTGGGAGAGGATGAGGTTGGGCGATCAAAGGATTTCAGGGACGAGTGATGCCGGTCTTGTACTTTTGCGACTCTTTTTCTCTTTCTCTCTGTGTCTCTGGAAGATGTACATTAAAAGTTTGCCTGGCTTTCTGTCTGCCCACGAATCGTGAATTGATGGGATCTTGTTTTATTTTTGGGTCCAGCGGTTTTATACAATCACAATAATCTTTCAACATGACTCCAGAATTATATTATTCGTGGGAACTTTTGAGATACTTCGAAAGAAATTTGTAGTTTTTAATTAAATTTTTCAACATTTTTCTATTGTTTTGGATGACAACATACATTCTGGTTTTAGTAAATTTTTTAAATTGTTGGATTTTTAGCTGATTATATCAAACTATTAAATTACGTGGTCAAACTTAATGATGATCCTTTCGACAATTTTTACAACATTAGAGCATAAAAAAGTGGCTTTAAAATGAAAAATCTCATTGAAAACAAAGAACGACAGAAAAATGCGATCAACCAGCGCTCAATAACAATATTAAGAGCAAAGTCGACAAGTCCTAGGAGAGCTCGAACGTGCCCAACAACTTTAACCGATCCATCATTATCGTTACCATCATTATCATTATTCTCACCGTATTATGTGCAGGAGCTAAAAAGTCGAGTTTATTAGAGAAAAAAAAGAGGAAATCCGGTCGAGGCAAACAATGCCAAAGACGCTCTTCGCCCTGGAGACACATCATAAAACGTACAGTGACGCAGTATCTTTTTTTCCCTTCTGCAAGAACATGAAGAGTTAGAAAAAAGCAACGTTGGGCGCAGCAAGCGATATCTCTCTTTATCCACGCTTGAGGAAAATACTGACCCACAAGTGACGGTGACGACATCTCAAGCAGCTTCCGAGTCTCATGTACGTTATATAGTGAAGGTGCTCTACATCAGACGCGCAAACCGAATCGGATTGTCGTGTATGAAATATGTATAGGTAACGCTCGATCGAGCGCTCGGAAAAAGTTGCGGCCTCGTCACTTTTCTTTCGGTAGAAAGGCACTGCTGTACTCTTGAAGGGTGAAAGTTTTCTTCTTTTGTTCCGTACGTGTAGCTATCCACCGTAGTGTAAGTCTTGTAGGCTAGATAACGTGTATAACCCTGCAACATTGACGCATCACTCGAGGGCATAGGAGAGAAGAAAGAGATTCACAGACTGTATCGATTGATTTTTTAGCACGGCAGCTTTACAACAGCTGCCTTGGATTTTTGTATTTTCGATAATACATGTTAGATAACTTGAACAACTTTGTATTAAAATATTCTTGTAGGTTCTCAAAATGGGAGGTAGAGGGTAAAGTAATAAACATAAAAAAGGGTAATACAAAAGAAAAATCGCGACCAGTTAATAGAAATAAATAAAAGAGTTATGTTAGAATTAACATGTAATATTGACGATTTCCGCAAGCCTGACCCAATCCGAACTCTGTTGACCTTGTTCGCAACCTTGCAAGCTCTCCCGAGTAACGATACTTTCGTATTCTCCTTAAACAAGTTTTTGATTTTTTCAACAGTGCCAGGTAGTATACCAGTCAATATCAGTATCTAGAATAATTGCTTGTTATTGCTTCTGGAATAATTGATACATGGTTTCTGTACGGATTACTTTATTAAAAAAAAAAAAAAAAAAAAAAAACTTGTGCAAGAATTTCCTTTGAAATAATCAAATGTCGATTATTAAACTGTATACAACTTTAAAACGAAATCATACACTTTGAAACAACTTTTATTTCATCTCATGACTGTAACAATTTTCTTACGGTAATTTACCACTTTATTATCCCATGCACCCCTTCAACTATCGAAAACATTAAGGACATTCCGATGAAAAAAATACGATTGAACCCATCAAAAATAAAATTTTATAGAAAATTTAAATTTCTACGTTAAAAATTCTCGCAAGCTCGTCACAAAAAATCCCCTACACGGCACACAATTTCCGTAAAAAAAAATCGATGACCCCACCAACGAGCATCTCAGAACAGCTGCTCCACTTGAATTAGTCTCAACACGAAATGATTTCCAAAAACGACACTACGTGAATTTCTACACGAAAAAAGCTCAGCGTCCTCCCCGTCTGGAGCGCTTCCTCTCGCGCCTGCTCTCCTGCCTCGCGCAACCGCACACGTGTCCTCGACCTCGACCACCTTTGGCCCTAGAATTTTTTCCTCCCCGTTTATTAGCGCGTCTCCTGGGACAGAAGCCGCAGTTGCCAGTGCAGTTGCTACAGTCGCAGCAGGACGGCCGGGCCGCGTCCCTCGCCTCGACCGACGACTCGGTCGCTCGGTATTGGCCATCCGGACCCTTCTTCACCAGCCCGAACTCCTCGCACTGCTTCAGCACTTTGGGGAGCTACGAAGGATGACATGGAGGATTTTAGGCAGATATCACGGTTTCAACTACTCGTTAAAAGGACGTTTGATTTTTCTATAACTATAAAAAAAATCCCATTGTATGATTATGTTTGCACCAATACATTGGATTTATTTAACATCTAACTATGTTTACAACTCTAACAGCCAACAACTTTGTGATTTGTATTACAAATTTTAATGAAAAGGTCAAAAAGAATTGGTTCGTTAACCTCTCCTGTTTTACCAAGTTATGAGATTTTACTCCCTCTCTTAAATCGTAATGAGTTTTAACTGTTGAGGTAACCAAGTGTGAAGCTCGTAGACATGAATCGTTTAAATTGTTGGAAGCTCGAGCGCAAAACTTTTTCTCCCAACACCATCGATTAAAGTTCGATTCATCATCAAAAACAAGTAAAAATAAATCCTTGCGGGGGTACTGATTTTACGCGTCCGATGTGTGAAAAGTAGAGCTTGATAATCTTAGCCAGGATTACCTGAGCTTTGATCACTTTGAGGACTTTCTTGCGATTGGCAGTGATGGTCTTGAGGATCTTTTTCTCGGACACGCTGCTGAGTTTTTTCATCGTCGACACAACGATAGGCAACTCCAAGTTCTTCAGCCTCGAAGCCCTTCTCATATTTCGTTGTCGCGCTGGTGCCAAAGAGCCGCTCCTCTCCCTCGGTGCTTTTCCTCCGGCGATTCACATAACCCCGACACCTAACCTTCAACGGAACGAAAAGTTTCTCAACTCTGAGCTAACTTTTTCTCTTCTCCCTTTTTTTTCCGTCCCACGCGAGCTGATCCATTTTTAACCCTCAAAGTTCTGAGCTCCTTACTTTGTTTTATTTCACTCGACTCGGCTGCGGTTGGCGTGGCGGCAAAGCCCGTTCATATCATCGTCGCGCGTCTGGGATGATGATACCGACTATGTACGTACAGGATGCGTATTGTTACACTCTCTCTTTTATCTTTCGTCTTCTCAGTCAGGGGAGACTCTACCATCGATAAAAGGCAAAAGCCACGTCTGACGGATTAAAATCGCTGGAGCGCGACGCGTGCCTGAGTTATTATTATTTGTACACAGAGCTTTGTCTACGCCTGGATGGACTTTTATAGGTAGGGATGATGCACTTTGCAATACGAGGAAAGGGCCGTATTTTGTTCTTCTCTTTGCAAGTCAATTATTCTTATTTTAAGCGGAAAAGTCGGGTTTTTCATGCTGATTGCTCGTACGTTGCTGAAATGGCTAATGCAGGTATGATCAGACCGTCCTTGCTGATGTATACTTGTATACAGATGGTATAAATTTTGTACGAACACTATGGCACGCAAGTTACGCATTTTTTGTTCACTATTTTTGGCCTTTTTAGAACGTAGGTTTTTAAACGTTTTTCAAACATTGAATGATATAAGAAGGTCAAGTGTATCAGTAGCGGTTATATGGCTGTAATAAATTCTCAAAGATATTTTTTATTCTTGATAAAAAATCAAATAAAATAAACTTGCGGATGACATTTTTCCTTGCAACTGCCAAAAAGTAATTCCATCATTTTTAAAATTATTTTTCTGTTTTTTTTTTTAAATCTGAAATCCTCCATCTCTACTCAAAATCTAATATTTGTTTAAATTGCAACTTTCCATTCCAGTAAAAGGCCATTAACCTTCATTTTTCCCGTCTGCTCCTGCCAACTCGCACCTCATAACTAATACATGATTTCCATTTCGCATTCATGATAATTTCGACGTTACAGAAAATGGAACTGTGCCGAGCAATGAGTCGTCAATTTCGCAACAAGGACCCAGACGACACCGTCGATTTGGCGAAAAGCGTGCCAGCAGACATTTCGAGTATATCCATAAGAACATCATCAAATATACAAGCGAGTGTTGATCTTGCCTACCCATTCCCTCCCCTTTTTTTCATCATCTCTCCTGGGTCTGACTCCCCATTTTATCCTCCCATGGTGCAAATAAATCACGCGTCACGTGTAAATAAATACACGCGTCGGTAGAACGTTATTTACCCACATACGTATAGGTGCTGCATGGAGACAGAGGGTAGGAGTCTCACTTTGAGTATCATCGTCTGAGAAGAATTTACTTCATTGAGAGTGTACAGTATTTTATATGAATTCGGGCGTTTTGTAAAAGGAATTCATAGGTAATTGAGGTAAGTGTGATAAGTGGCTTGAAAAATTGATTTTTTCATTAAAACAATTTTCGCCAATATTGTATCGTATCATTTTATAACTGATGTTGTAATATTAATTTTTTATAAATAATTTTTTCTGAACCAAAAGGGCCGCAAGTGCATGAAAATTTTATTTCTTGTAGCTATTTTTTGAGACGAAATTCAAAAGTATTTGTTCCTTTGAGCCATAATCATTAAACGATAATAAAAATTTTTCACCCATTAAAAATAACAAATCTGAAGAAACACAAAATTCTCATGTAAGAAATGTAGTACAAAAAAATAAAAGTCATGACAATAGTCTTGAATCCGTCGGTAGCTGCCGCCGTCTTTCCGCTTCCTCAAGCGTAACAATCAATTAATTGCCCTTTATTCGAACTTCCGTAGATCGGCAATTATACCCTTTCTCTGTTACCAAAGATCTGCCAGCGACAAAACGAGTCAGAATGAGATACACCCACGTCAAGGCGATTACGGCTGATACGAGCACTGCAACCACCACCACCACTTTGTAAATAATATACTCACACTCACCAAGACTGTATCGCCAGAGGTCCTTGAGCGGCAGATTGCCATTCCTACCCCCAAGCAGGTACACGTGTCCAGCCAGCAAAGTTGCACTGTGCTTGCTCCGCGAGGGAGGCGCTGGACCGTTCTCGAAACCAGCGGCCGTCACCGAGCTCCACATCGTCCCGGTCTGCTGGTGCTGAAAATTTACAAGCACACGCGTACGAGTAACGATTAGAAAAGGATTCCAAGAGAAGGGCTTTTTCTATCTTTTTTTTTTTTTTTTTTTGTTCGTTTTGTGCACAAAAAGAAAGCTCCCTCGAGTGAAGGTGAAATAAAGGAAATTCACGAGAGGCAAGAGGGGTGATTGATTGCAAGGCTCATTTGAGACTGCTGCGAGTATTGCGTACCGCTTTGAGAGCACTCGGGCCTTTTGTGCCATTGTTTCTTTGTGCGCGTGATTTAAATGGCTTTCAAATTACGTGCACCCTCTTTTGTCAGCTTTTCGGATCTGACAACCATATTACCTCCTACATCACGCCCCGTAACTCAACAACTTATATTAGCTATTCCATTTTAACGCTCTTATAGATTATTAGAGATTATTGAGAAACCATTGTAGCTATCATCATTACTTTTATTATAAATAATTACTTCTCAAAAATCAATCATGCAATAACGTGGAGTTTGCGTATTTTTCTGGGTACTTGAATTCCTAGAACACACCGATATTAGCAGCTGAAACTAAATCTTGTCTTATCGTAACCTTCACAAACCCTTTGACCCATCACTGAAAATTATTTTCAAAAAAAGGAAACACTAAAAATGTTTATGCCACGAATTTATTGACTTTCAAGAGCTTACATAACTACATTTTTTTTTATTTAAAGAGATTAAGTTTTAGAGCTTTTCTCCATGACAGGATTTTGTAAAATCTCGTTTGGCATTCTTTCACATAATATATTGAGTTGGATATTTAAAAAATGAACAGCTTTGAGGATTTTTAACTAACAAGGAAAAATGTGAGGAATCAGGATTAATTATTAAAGATGGAGTTGTTAGGTCAAAGTACTTTTTTCGACTTTAATTCTATGAGTATTTTTAAAATTCATGAGTTTTCTCATCTGGAAGAAGCTACTTTAATCTCATTTCGTAAAACAAAAAAATTTTTTTTTTAATTCCTAGGCGGCAAGCGCAGTGTTCCGTGATGAATATTTAAATTTGGAATGAAGTCAACAGTTCCAAATGAAAGCTCAGCATGCATTAATGCATACACTTATATCATCTACACCCACTAATGTCTCACGGTGCTATTCCAAACAAAGAAACTTCAAGGTGTAGTAATAACTCTATGTACACCCAACACAAGACTCGCGCCGCTCTGAATATCCCCTCCTTACATTTATTCATCCTCGTTAATTATCGCATTCTCTTTTCCGCTGAAATCTCATGTCCCCCGTTGCCTTCGTTCATTTGAATAAAAGCGAGTCCAAGCAGCCGTAGCGCCAGAAAAATTTTCCACCCCAGCCAGTCCGAGTTGACAGAGTCTTGTAGCAAGTCACGCTTACGCAGACACACTCTCGCATAAATGAAACAATCTGGAAGAAGAGGAAGAGAGAAGAGAAGGGATTATGCATTACACATGTACACCTTTACATTCGGACGAACCAACGATTCGTAAACTTTCCACGGCGAGGCAAAAGTTCGCGGGAGTTTTCGCTCTCTGAACCTATACACCTACATTCGTCGCCTAGAAGGAGAAAGAAAAAGAAAAAGAAGATGATGGCGATGAAAAGAAAGTAGCACAGCTGCAGAATAAGCCAAGGAGTAATTAAGAAAACGACGCAGTCGAGCCTCCGACTGTAGGTATACATTGCACCTTATCTCTTCTTTTCGCGAACAAACGCACGTGTACGCGCACATGCGGGTATAAGCAGTGGAACGGCATGGAAAATAAAAGGAGGAGAGAAGAAGCACGGGAGCACGCCCATCAGGAGAAACCTTTTTTATTCAAGGTAGCCTGCACTTGCCATTCAAGAGATTAGCCCCCGCTCTCTGGCTCATTATGTGCGCGCGTACACTTTTAACACCGAGTGGAGGAAAAGTCGCTAATCGTCGTCGCATCTGCGCACCCCAAAGAGGACGTTTGCCCTCTTAAAGTGTTCCGGAAGGGTAAGCACCGAAATTGCAGTTGGGGTCTTTCGTTGCGTATTACGTTGCACGTAGACGCTGGTAATTTTGGGATTGCGAAAAGACATCCTACGTTTGCCAACACGAGGCTTTCCTTGGAGGAAATTGACGCGAAATGATAGGTTTTTTTTTTTTTTTTGAACTCGTTGCTTTGATTATATTATATGATGGCACGAGGGAATTGGTATACGCACGACTGCCTACCCACGCGCGAGTGTATAAAAATGCTATTTGTTTTTTGTGACGCTCTGTGATTTATACTCTGCTCTAGTTAGCTGTGGTGCCAAGGTTGATCAAATTTGGTTCAATAATTCCAATTTATCTGTACGACAGGGACCTTATTTGAATATTCTTATTTTAGAAGGTCAATCAGTTTATCGATGCCTTATACCACTACATTCAATACGCAATTATTTTAGGTCATGATTAAGTGATGTAGGAAATTCAATTATCAGCTAGAACCAAGGAATGATCCAAAATCATTGTCAGTGACTATCGTGTATAGTACACTATTGATTCGATTAGGAGTTCGTATAACAAGAATTAGCCTTGTTGTCGGATGTATCTTATTGGATTATAATAAAATTTTAACCTGTTCATAAAATACTTACTGGGCACCTTACTGGGAACGTAAACATATATTATAGAGAATTATTGATCGATTAGGACTTTGCACATTCAATGCCAATGACTATCATAAAAAAGAAAAAGTGGATAATAAACCAATGCCAATAAATTAACGTAATTGTACAAATAACGGAAAAATAAATTAAATTCGTCAGAAAAATCCTTACAAATGGAAAATACATTATATTCGTAAGAACAAATCGAATAAACGAAAAGACAACAAAAATTCTGGTACTCCATCAATCACTGTTTTCGTATGTGTCAGGACATACAGCCAATACGCCCTCCAAATTCACACGTCTCTGTGTACACGAATACTCGTACATGCGTACACAACTTTCCTAAGGCCATCAATTTTCCGCTTGTCATGGCTAGACACGGGGCAGTACATGTGGACATCGAAGTTGCATTAATACAATGCGTGGTCGAGCTGTAGTATGTTTTGGTCTGCACCGACTGTTGCGCGAACGGGAGGGTCTTTCATTGAGAGAGTAGTAACCGAATATATATGTATACAAGGAAAAGTTTCGCCTCGATGGAAAAAGGAGGAGGAAAAGGGGATCTGGAAAAGAAGAAGAAGGAGGGATTACTCATGGCTCATTTGCGGGCTACGGACAAACGCTGAGCTTGACACTCGAAAAGGCGTCAGTCCAGACGAGTTTCCGAACTTTCGTACAGTTGGTTGCGACAAGAGACGTATTGCCCTATGTGCATTTATATCAGTATTTTCATCACGCGCGATCGTGTGTACTCGAGGAGCTGATGGAATTTTAAATTGATTCGAGAAACTTGGATATCCCGTTTTTCCTTTGTATACGTATTCTTTTCTAACTTTCTTTCAAGGAAACAAGAGCGTTGATGGAAGAAAGAATGTGGAAATGACTTACATTTTAATGACAGGAATTTAAACGAGAGTGATAATGGTACTTCTTTTTCTAAGTATCTAGGACTCATTTTATTTTATTGATGCCAGTCTTACCTAGAGGGATACTTTTGGATTATTAAAAGTTCCATACTGAAAACGCTGTTTTCATTGATAAACAAACACATGTATATCTTATAGAGCTGGGAATATTTGAAACGAAGGTATAATTCTTTTAAAACACCACTTGCAAGGTCAAAAATAATCAACGTTGCAAAGATCAAACCCTTAAGTTAGAACCGAAAGTAAATCAATGAAGAAAGTAATCATTGCATAATGTGAATTTCAGTCAAAAAATGTTCCACCGTTCATTTAAGGTAATCATTTGATGAAATAGCGGATTGTTATGTTCAAAACGATAAAATCAAATGGCCCAGGTGCAAGTCCAATCGACTCTTTGTCCAACTGTAAAATGGTACCCCGTCTTATCCATCGTACAATCGAAATAATCATATTCCATGTAACGTAACGTGAACTACGAGGAAATAAGTACAGGTATAAAAAAAAAAAAAAAAAAAAAAAAAAAAAAAAAAAAAAAAAAAAAAAAAAAAAAAAAAAA